GCATTTCCAACTTTGTACACAAATTACAAAAATTCGACAAATGTGCACCAAAATTTCAAACTTTTTATTCAGAATTGATTAATTAGTATGCAGTTGTATACCCCAATAAATTTTAGTTTCAGGTTAGTAAAAAGTCCTGTCGATCTTTGAGATTTTTTTTTTTATGGAAATAGAAAATTGCCAAAAATCAACGGCATTTTTTAGCAGCTTTAAACTTGCACTTTGTTATACTAAAATTTAATGGGCCACAAAAGTGCATAGATATCAAAATTTGTCCACAAATTCTGTTTAAAAAGGTTGAAATTTCAGTGAAACTATGCAGGAGTTTAAAAATTTTTCACAAAGTTCGAAATTTGAATTTATGTGGTATTTGTTGCATGACCAGTAAGGAAGCACTTCAAAGGGTGCAAAGAACTGCGATGCTATGCATCTGTGAGGCTCGCGCAGAACTCCATCGAAGGCAATGTGCGTGTTGCTCAGTATATTGCCAATTGACATTGTTGGAGAACAATCAGCGGGGTGTGCCGCCTTGAGGCTGAGGGCAACTACCAGACAGGAGAGACACTCAGGATGGCCACCCCGCAATCTTAAAGAACATAAACCGGAAACGGATAACTGTGCACCAAATCTGAACTTGACAAAGAGGTATACGATTTCCATTCCAGGCAGAAAATTCTGGGCAGGAGGGACTCCTAATGAAAAGGGATCTTTCCACCTATACACCGATGGCGATAAGCTAGACGACAAGGTAGGAGGGGGACTGGTACTCGAAATATCATTTCACTAACCCAACCAGGCCAGACTCACAGCGCTCGACTCCGTTATATGCAGATTAAAACCGTAGCGGACTGTCGCAGATCTCTAAACGAGATGGCTTAGTAGTCTGCTCTTCACTTGATATGGATGCCAGGCAATTAAAGGGCAGACGAACTTGCAATAGAGGGCACATTCGCGCCACTTTCGCAGGCCTGAAAGGATTAAACATGCCGCTCGCTACCTTCAAGCTCATTATAAACTAGCCAGGTACAGGTGAGCTAAGGGCCTATGTATGCTAGTGGGGTCGCTGACAGCCACTTCAACCTAACCTTACCATAATGAGTAAGGCCTATAGAAAATAGAAATTGTTAAAACTGATCAAAACATTGCACTACTATTATTTCGTAGACAACTTGTAAATCAATTGTGTTCACACTTCTCTATATGATTTCATAGATATTTAAGTAGCACGTGTGTTAGGCACTTAGCTATAAGTCACCTGAAGACGGAATCCTGCAGTGGAGTTCGGACAATCGCTGCGCTAAATTTGCGTCGAAAATTGCTCTAAATGAAAATCGCATCTCAACGACAGTTTTTTTTTGAAGGCGAAATTAGGTGATCTCGATACTAAAATCTTAGATTTGCAATCTCGAAGTCTTCAAAACTAGTTTAAGTATTTCCGACGTACCTTCTGCGATATCTTTCACTATCACTTTGTGGTTTGTACTTGATTTCACAATAAAAGAAATGGTGGCATACCTTTCGGCACTTTCCTCAACAACGATGCAACGAAAATTAAATAGCACATAATCTTTTAAATTGCATGGGGATTTCGTTGAAAGTTGAGTCAAATCCCAGAGATCTAAATGAAGAAAACATATGGGAATTACTCTTGGATTTTGAAAGATTTCGCGAAATCTCAAATTTCAATGATGCGGGAGTGTACTACATGAACGTGCGCGAAATTAAGATAGCGTGAACATAGTTTTAAAATTTTTGACACACATATGTACGTACTTGAGTGTACATATAGAAATATCAATTTTTAATAATTTGTTACTCAAATCGGTACTTTTGCGAATTTTCGATGGGATTTGAAGATCAGTGATCAGAAATAAAACTCGTAGTATGCCGATTTACTATATGGAACTCTAAATAATAAAAAAATCCATGAATTTAAAAGACGAAATTCTATTGGTACATAGAAACTTAAGATTCGCCTGTGAGCGCTGTTCGATAAGCGTTCTTAAGAAGAAAAAACTGTTTAGTTACGATCAAATAAGTGCTTTATAAATTCGACACCTCCAAGTCGCGTTAGACTTAGTCAGACTTAGCAGAATATGGTTTGGAGGCGCCGAATTATCCTTTAAAAGATTTAATACCTTTTCAATATGCATTTATAAATATATATACATATATATATTTTTTTTTCATTATAAAAAAACTTCTGAAATAGTAAGTTTATGCCGTTGTTTATAATAAAATAAATGCTCTAAAAAGAATTTATTATTTTTTTCTAAAGTGGCATCACAGGCGAAAATTAGTATTAAATGATAAAAAAAATTATTAGTATTCTGGGGTTAAGGTTGAGAAATGTGCCGAATACAGTTTTACAAATAAGCTAATTGGAAAGTAAACATTTCTCAACCAAAATGTTTGATACAATGTTCAATACATACGAATCTGGCCATACTTAGCTGGACTATCCCTTTCTTAAGAAGATTATTGAATTTGTCTCTATTCATAAAAACTGTGATCAGTAAGTTGAGTGGGCTCCTTTGGCGATGAGCCATTCAGATTCTATAGGATCATTCTAGGAATCGAAGTCAATGCCTGATGAGAAATTCACATTACTGTTTCCTGTGCTTCGCTACATCAAAAGCCCTACAACTCAATAGTAGCTGATAAGAAAGCCTATGGCTATTACAATGTCGTTTCTGCACATACTAAGAATTTTTCTCGCATCTTTAAGCTAATATTTTTAGATTGAATATTTTGTTGTGACTGTTAATTTCAAAGTTCGTTCACTAATGTTGAGTTGTATTTTTTAAAACTACCTATTCGAGCCATGCTTATAATAAGCTTAATTGCCAAGGTGGAAGCTACTCGCAAAGCCCGACGATATCTACGCTGGCGAGTCTTTCTTGAGTTTGGACTGGATGAATGCCCCCTCGGTCTTCTTATTCTTTCAGAAAGGAGTTTGTGGTCTAATTCGAATGGGCTTGGAATTGGTTTTACGCATCCAGATTTCCAGATTCGATTTGATGTCGCCGTCTCAGCGCAGCAATTGTCGGCAATTCGGGGTTTAGATATTTTGTGTGTTCCATGGGCGCTTATCATACAGAGTTGCACTAAGATATTTAACTAATTTAGAGTAGTGTATCTTGACTACATTGCAAAAATGGGACAGGTTGTCCTTTTTCAGAGGGAAAATAATGATTTTAAAAAATCAGCTCTAAGGTTGGAAATTCTTTTCGGTCTGGCTGTGGCTAAACCGGCAATGGCATCAACATAGCCGCGAGAGCATCAATGCCTTTCTCATTAAGTAGGCAGGGAAATATCTGCACTCTGCTCTGGAGTGGCCTACGTTGACAATGTGGCATTGATAGCACAGCAAAAGGGTCTAGAAACACTATTTGAACTTATACAGAGTTACGTAAACTAGGTTGAAAACTGGGCTTTTAGTTGCAGGGTGGATGTGAACCATAGCAAAACGGTGTTTGTTCTTTATGCTAGGCGATATAAGATATCGAATTGCCGCCTGTCGTCAATGGGCGATTTTTCAATAGGGTCCTCTGGCTGGGTGAGGTAAATACTTGGGCTTGATCCTTGACAACCAGCTTTCCTGGAAACCTAACGTAGAGTAAAGAGTCAAGAAGGCTTTATATTGTTGCGGAGGGACCAAATGCAAGAGCTTTGTGTTCTTACCGGCTCGGAAACAGCACTGCACGCCGATTTCGAGCCCGAATAGATCTTTCACCGCCCATTTTTTAGCGCGACAGGACAGGGAAGGATGCTATATATGGAATTGGGGTGGGTGCTGTTAATTTACGGATGGATCGAAGCTGAATGGGGAGGTAGGCGAAGATGTCTTCTGCGAAAAACTCTTCGTCAACAATAAATTTAGGCTACCGGATCTCTGTAGCATTTTCCAAGCAGAGGTGGCTGCAATAAAGGAAGCTTCGAACTGGTTGCTTTGTTTTGTAACACCTTTTAAGATGGTAACAAAGTTCTTGGCTTCGTAAAGCAATGAATGCTTAGCCTCCTTAACGACGGCATCGGATTACTACGCTAATCAACTTATTTGGGTTCCTGGAAATTGCATGGCCGATGGACTGGCAAGACAGAAAACCCTTTAGGAATTGCTCTCATATATAGAAAGCATGGCTTCCACATTCAGCTTATATTGCCTGACGTATAACGTAATTTTCTTTCGTATGAGTTTTGATCCGTAAATGGATGTTGCCCAGTTTTTAAATTACTTTAAATTTTTGTCCAGTTTTTAGATTAACAAAAATTATGTCCAATTTTCAAATTACGCAAAAATCAAATTAAGTTTTTAGACTATCCAAATGTTATGCCAAATTTTTATTTATCAAAATTTTATGTCCAAATTTTTATTACAAGCATTCGTGTTATGTATGGCCAGTTTCGTACCATCAAATGAAGAGTACTATACGCTTAAATATAATATGTAGTAGATTTGAAGATGAGTGCAAAAACAAATGGTTTGTTAGATGAGAAAATCAAATAGAGAAATTTAAGTTATCAAAAAAAGTCGAGGTGTGAGCTTAGTTTACAAATTACAGAAATTAAGAAAATTTAAAAGTTAAAAGTTGAAAGCTCTAAAGGAATACATACAATAAAGTGCGTTGAGTCTTTTATGCTAAAACTATTTAGATACATGAAAAAAGTTATGTGAATGAGAAGTCAAAGTGAGTAGTAGCATAGTCAGCCGTTGTGTTCTGTGTGTTGTGGCATAGTGCAATTTGAGTTTTGGTTTAATTTGGTTATTTGTATACATATATTTATATGGCTATTTTGTAGTTGTTTTTTTTTTTTTTAATCATCATTGCCAGCAAAGCAAAATATGCAAAAGTGTGTGAAATAAAACTAACTGATTGATAGGGAGGTTAAAAGGGATTTAATTTGTAGCAAACATTATACTAATAATAAGTAGCATACAAGTTGCCGCATATACATATGTATATTTCTAACTACGCAAATTTTACAACAATGCTTACCGGCTTTGCTTTTGGCTGCTGTTTTACTTGTCGCTTCTGCTTCAACATATTCCAACGCCAAAGCACTGAATATTGCGGAATTTTCGCAGCGACTTTTCGTGTTGACTAAAACGCTACGAGTATTGCAAAAATGCGAAACGAAACAAGTTTTGTAATGACTTAGGCGGCTGTTGTTGTTGTGGTTGGCTTTTATTGCAGCTGTTGACTGGTCCAATGACGATAGTGGCAAGGATTTCGCTGTTATTTTTCCAAACTTTTTTTTTTTTTTTTGCAAGATACCAGTTCGATATGTGCTTTGTTGTAGTTGTAGTTATCTTTAAAAGTAGCTTGTTTGCATAGGAGTAGTTAAGTTAAAAGAGATTCGAGAATTTTTTTTGCTGATACACAGAAATGATCGGTGCCATATGAACAGCTTTCATTTGATTTCCAAAAATTGAATGCTTCTTCTTTACGTTGTGCTGTGCTTTCTTGGATTTGAAAATTGTTCCAATGTATTTCTTGCTTGCTGTGTTTTTTACGCTCTCAATATTTATGTTGCAGTTGACAGCAGGCGTATCAGTTGTTTTTTATGGCATGTCTGTTTGCAAGCTCTTTTCGACCGACGTCCAACAGAAAGTGCCAACGAAAGCAAAATAAATGAAAAATGAGTTCAGAATTTGGCAATTTCACGCTGAATACGTCGAAATGGAATTAGGAAGTTAGCAAAAGGGAAGTGAAAAGGCCTTTGAGTAGGCCCAAAGATATTAGTTGGATAAGGCAGTGACACCGGTGCGTTTCGCATGGCAGCGTGTCACATTCGGAAAAAGGGATTTCATTGTATAAGTGAGGGGTAATCTTTCTGTTTTTTCCCTCTTTTTGCTGTTTTTCGATTTTTTTTTTCTGCTCTATTTTGGGCAAGAACCAATTTAAATATTGATAACAACACCTGCTATGTTCATGCATTCGATGGATTTCCTCGGTAAACACTAATTGAAATTGTTAATTTTTTGTATTTTTAATTTTTTTGGCCACTGAAATGCATTTAAGCTCACAACCACTCAATTGTTTGTCGATGCGTTCGTTCTTTTTCATTGCTCTGCATTTAATTAGATTTTACTCAAACGCAGCGTGGCATACATACTTGTGAACATTAGGGTGCACCACTCTCCACGAGAAAAACTTTAGCTCAATAAAATTGTTGATTAACTTTATTAAAAAAAAAATAAATAAATATTTCGAGATAATGCACATTTTAATATTTTTCTGAATTATTTTTGAGGATGTTGTTAAGTATAATAAGTTTTATAATTCTGTTGTAATAACCGCGACTTTTTTGATGGGGCACCCTAATGTGCATATGTATGTAGACGGCTAGTTAAATTTACTTATGGGATATTATATAATTTTTAACATTTTCAATTCTTTTTAACAATCTGAAAATGGGAATTTTTTTCGTATATATTTATTTCAACTAAATGAACGCTTGAAAGTAAAAGCTAGAGGTAAATTCCTGGTATTTAAAAAAGTGGATTTTTTTGCAACTTAAAATTGGGCCAAACAATTTTGGATGGACATAAATATATCTAGTGGGACATAAATTTTGTTGGACACAAATATATGTAGGTGGACATAAACTTGATTGGTCATTAATTTGGTTGGACATAAAATTGGTTGGACATAAATTTGGGTCGACATAAATTTGGTTGGCCATAAATATGGTGGGACATAAATTTGGTGGTACAAAAATTTGGTTGGACATAAATTCGGCTGGATCAATTTTTCCTAGTCTTTCAGAAACTGGATATACATATGTACATTTGTGGTTCTTACAAACTGACCATAAAATGTTGGCAATTTAAAAACTGAACAAATAAACTTGACACATGTACGTAAGTCGTTGCACATAAGTTGGTGTTTCGATAAAAATTAAAAAAACAAAAAGTTGTGCCAATTTTTAAACAACGAAAATTTTTTGTCAATACGATCAGTAAATAGTATATGCTCACTTTTAAAATGAGCAAAAATTTATGTCCACTTTATAATAAAAAAAAAAAAAATATTTTAGTTTTAAAGCCAGTTGTAAATCCAACGATGAAAAATGTAATGAACAGTTTTGCAAAACCGAAGTGCAAAATAAAAATATACCCGCATTTTAGTTTACCATGAAAAGTGTGACTAAATAACCATAAAAATATGTCCAATTTACAAATAATAATTTATGTTAAATTTCCAAGTGACCAAATTGTTATGATAATCTTTAAATTACCATAATTTTATGTCCAATTTTTTAATCAAAGCCATTTTTAAACTACAACAAATATACATTCAGTTTATGTATCACAACAAATTTATGTCCAGCTGTTTTACTTTCAAACGTTCAAATGTTACTCATACGCTGCGTAGCACTCAGTTATAAATAAGTATGTTGAGTAAAATTTTGTGTAATTCATTTATTGAGTATACATAGTTATTTGCAGCCAGCCATCTTTTATATTTTTTAACAGAAAATTATAAATTTTTAATTTTCGAATATGTCTGTGGGCAATAAAATATGTTACTCATACGCTGCGTAGTACCTACGATAAGCAAGGTTAGTAAAAGTCACGTATCGAAAAGAGAAACACAGGACAATACAACCTTTTGTAAGAGTTAATTGACAATAATACGATTTTTTCGGCAACGCACAGTTTACATATTTTTTTAATATCTTTCACGTGAAGGCATTACTTTTTTATGCACACTGCAAAAATTCACTTTTTATATGTACGAATATGATCACAAGTACGTTTAAAAGGTCATTTGTTATTGAACAGAATCTTTTTGTTGAGTGGGGTTATTTAGTTAAGTGAAGTCTTTATATGGCTCGTAAAATGTGGTTATATTATCTTTCTGAAATTGTTATTTTTCATATACGCACGCACACAGATGTAGACTTTTTATTATTATCATTATTTGTACATTTACAAAATACAATGAAATACCTTTTACCTGGCGGACAAACATTAGCAGTTAATGCCTTAACACTTTTGCTTCTCTCTTTCTTCTTTGTGTTATTGTTATCCTGCTTCTGCCACCTTCATTTACAATTGCTAAGGTTTATTTTTTTATTTTTTTTTAATGGGTTGTGGCATTAAAATGCCAGAATGCTGTTATTTATTTAATAGCTGTAAATACATACAGAAGACAAACAGCGTAAATATGTTTACCTTTTTTGGCTTTTTCAGTGAGACTGTACGCGAATACTGATGATACACCTGCACATGATTCGATGTGAATTTTCCCAACATTTGTTTTGACGTTTGAGTTGCACGCTCCCCGGTTTACTGATTGAATGCACTGCGGGAAATGTGAATGTTCTGCAAAGAAAATAAGAGGGAATTCCATTAAAATAAAAATTAAAAAAAATAAAAGAAAAACTTTTGCGTAAACGCCATGTAGCGCTACGCAATTAGTAATCAATTTGAATTTTATTGTAAAATGTTGTAATTTTAGGGAACATTCTTGTCACTCACTTTAATTTTATAATGAAGCACAAAGTTTCTGTAATTAATGTAACTGCAACAGAGATAAGTTTTATTTTATGTATTGATTGGAATGCATGTTACGAAAATTCCTCGCCACCTACCCTTTAATTGCTATCGGTAATATTATTGATATATTCATCGGTTCGGATATATTTTCTAATTGTCATTGCTACATCTGCCGATGCCGTTGCATATTCCTTCAACAATACTTTATCGATATCAGTATATTATTGATATCCGCCATTATATCGATATCAATATTTTTATCGATATCAGTATTTTTATCGATATCAGTATTTTTATCG